AAAAACAATTCAACTAACTTAATTATTAGGAGAAGGAGCGTGGAACAACTGGAAATTACAATTTTGAGTTACCGACCAAAGTGCAAAAATTTTACCAGCCAAATTTAAGAGAGACAGATTGTGGCGTTCAAAAGTACACCAATCACGTACTGCTCTAGATCTACTTTTCAAATTAACTAATTGAAAATGAATAGCGGTACCGGGGAAGCATATTGTCGGTTAAGTCAATGTGATGGAATACACCTGTCACGTTTTATATATATCCTTTATCATTATTTTCATTTCGTGCGCTTAATTCCCTAAATATCCGTGTTAACAAATTATTTTGACATAATTACTTGATTCTTTAAAATTGAGCAGAGTTATTATGTTCCAGAAATAACAATTCTTGGGATTCACAATAAATCAATAAAAATGGGAAAAAAATAATTTGGTATGAACTTTTTGTCGCGAGCGTGCGTTGTCCCAATTTGATATGTTTCGAGCTCTGAACTACCTACTATGGTTATGCCACTTTCAATATGACAAAAAGTTACAAAATCGCTGTATATATATATTGTCGACTATTGCTCTATATTGACCTGGACAAGTAAGAAAAACGTGGAGAATGTGTTTCATATAATGGTTTGAGTGTATATAATGAAAGCTAATTATCTTTTTATAGGAATAGCCTATGCTAGAGGTGTACACTGGCAGGAGCATAGGAAGTTTACTAGAGTTTTAATCCGTGAGTTTGGTTGGGGAAAAACTGATGACTATTACAAGATAATTCAAACTGAGGTAAAATGTGTGATGAAGGAATTGATTGATACGAAAAAATGCGAATCCTTTGATCCTGATATTCTCTATCACCATGCTGTCTGTAACATCCAGTGTCAATTTATTTTTGGTAAAAGATTCAACTATAATGACAAAAAGGCTATACAATTTTTTGACGCATTAGATGGATTCTCCTTGGATACCAACCCAGCTGTCGTGATGACCATTTTTCCCTTATTGACCAAAATCCCATTTGGAAGCACTAAACGGGTACTCAGCCATATATTTGTAGCACGTACATTTATCAAAGATCAAATTGAGAACAGACTTGCACTACGGAAGAAACTTGGAAACTCTTACAAACTAGCCAGGAAAAACTATATCAACTGCTATTTGGATGAGATTGAAGCGAGGCGTGATCAGCCCGAGTTGGAGTTCAGCAATGACTCTTTAATATTAGCCCTACTCGACATATTTTTCGGCAACCAGACAGTTGGTGATGTACTCACATGGACAAAATTAATGATGGTGTATCACCCAGAAGTGCAGAAGAAGGTGAAAATAGAACTTGATCGTGTAATTGGTCCTGATAGAGATTCAGATGTAAATGACAGATATAACCTTCATTACCTAAATGCAGTTCTACTTGAATCTACTCGTATTCGCCCCATCTCACCATTCGGTATCCCTCGTATAACCAATGAAGACACATCGATCTGTGGTTATTTTATTCGCAAGAAAACTTATGTAGTGCCAAACTTGTGGTCCGTGCAGGGAGACGAAAAATACTGGCCCAATCCAATAAAATTCGATCCTGAGAGAAATCTGGATAATAATGGAGTTTACACTCCACAAAGCCGTGTTTACTTGCTATTTGGAATAGGTAAGTACATATATACATAACTAAAACAGTTGCGAGTGGGACATATTCTTTATCAATAGGAATTTTGAAATTACCAAAAGAGACAAGCAGTTCAAAAAGAATGTAACATAGCAAATACTGAATATTATATCACCGTAATGCCATAAATTACAGAGTGTCCCGGAATTTTGCGGTTTTTTACGGGATATTTTCTTCCTATCATAGAAGGAAATGTGAATTCCAAATATGGAATAATTACGCGCCTAAGCGTCGTTTAATAATAAAAAAAACAAACATAGTTGCCACCAGAGTTTGAACGGATTCGACAAAAATTAGTTTGCTGATTCTGCTCTAAACTTTTTTGAATTCGACATTCCCATAATGTATCCTTGGAAGAAAAAGATGTATAATAATAATGTTATTTCGAGGATACCTCAAAGTATGCACGCAGACAGTACGCTGCTGTGCGTCGATCGATTCTCCGCTGTACTGTCTTCCTGCATACTTTGATGTATCCTCGTAATTACCTCACATTATTATTAAGAATAACCTCACAAAAGTACTAGATGCGTGACCTCTAACATATTGGCATAATCGGCGACCCAGAAATAGCATTTTCAATCATAGATCATCAAGCAAATTTCCATTGAAAAAATAAATGTAAACACAACACAATATACATAGACCACGGAGTATACATACAATGGCTGTCGGGTGTTTCGAAGTGAGTGGACATAAACTGTTTCACATTTGGAATATTATGTTTCTGCCAGCATAGTTATCATATTAATTAATGTTTCGTACTTTTGTGCATAGTAAATGTTTTCATAATTTATATAAACAAGATGACTTTCGTTTTTTTTATTAAAATACACTGTTTCAATTAAAAGCACACTGTTTAAATTAATAACATGTGTATTATATTCTAAAACTTCTGTATTTTCTATCAAATCATTAGTGTGACAAATACACAGATACACCACAATACCTTCAAATTTCAATAACCAATCACCCAAACATATACATGAAGGACGCTTACCCGAAAAAGGCAAAATTCCTGTATACAAGACTTTCTCTGATTGGTTTATTGATATAGCATGTGTAATGCTGCATACGGATAATTTATTTGGGTTGTTCAGATTTTCAGGTTTTCGTAGTCAGAAAATTAAGAAAAGAAAGTGAAACGACTGAAAGAATAAAAAAAGAAAAAGCCCAGTAAGATTTGATATTTAAGTAAGTTGATAGATAATAGTTATCCACTGCTTGGGGCGTTTTAGTAAATATGATAGCAAGCTAAGAGCAATTTGAAAATGTGAATGTCAACTAAAATGAGAAGTAAACATAAGGTAGGTTATGGCAACCATTGATTACCATAAGTATTTTGGTGAAAAACAGAGCGATCAGCGTGTTCGAAAAACTGATAATGTATTTATTTATGTATTCATCTATTACAGGTCCACGTACCTGTCTCGGTCAACAGTTAGCGAAAATGGAGTTGTTTATTTTCTTTGCAAATTTACTGCAGCGTTACAATATCCATATCGTCAATGACACTAACATCAAGCAGACCATTGGTATGACGAAAATCATGCCTTTCTTCATCCGATTTGAGAAGCGAAAAAGATTAGTGTTGAATATGTGACTGTCAGAGATGGTTTTAATGGAATCATGCAATGTTTTTCATTGTTATGTTCTAGAGTATTTTAGTCTGTGTTGGTTAATTGTAAGTGTTGGTGTTTAGAGATATATTATGTAAACAAGAGACTAAATGTGTTATATGATTATGGGAAATGTGGTATAAATAGTTAGGTACATTAAATGCAACATGGTTATCACTAATATCAAAAAAAGAAAAAAATAGTTTGTAATTTGGAGTGTGAAAATTCGTCTTGTATTTACTGTTTTTGGAAGTATGGAGACACAAGTCAGGAGATAGACTTGTTGCATTTAAACATCAAATGCCACTCCTTGCACGTGGAGTAATATAACAAATAATCAATAAACATAAACGTTGACAAAAAAATAACAATTGTATATTAAACAAAAAATGTGGTTAGTTCAAATTGATTTTATAGCAAATTTGAACGTCAGTTTCGCTGTAAAATAATACAATATCTCGCTCAACATAATATTCATTATTCATGGAATACATGTACTCTTTTATTGGCTTTTATTCATTTACCTAAATGAAGAGTTTTGTGTGAAACTTTAAAAAAACAATAGAAGCAAAATCATGCAATTCTCCGGAAGGTTCATTCATTCATATTTGATTATTATTATATTATTCATACAATTTCGTTTTTGCCCAGAATGCTAGTTAGTCTCTTACTGCAACTTCAGTTTGACTTCAAAAACATAGCATTAAACTGCCATGTTCTCAACATTGGGGCGATAAAGTTTAAAATGCGTTTTAAACATGTTTATTATATTGAACCATATTTGTTTGAAAATAAATGCGCGTAAAATGCATTTTACTATGTATGGCTTTGTGTAAATGCTTTTTAAGCGTATTTATAAAAAAAAGCGTTTAAAATGCATCTATAAATAAATGCGTTTAAAATGCATTTCTCTAGGTATGGCTTAGTGTAAGTACTTTTTGAACAGAATCACCATCAGTCACTGGATTGTGAGTATAAATATATATTTAAAAAAACAAAACAATGAACATACATTGCTAAAAAAACATTATTCACAATCCACTTCATTCCAAATTAAAATTATTATAAAATTATATGAGTTTATTAAAAATTAAATTGTTGTATTGTCATAAAAGCACTGGGTGTATAAGTACAGCCATAGCCCATGAAGCACAAAATCAAAGTATCAAAAATTGGTAGTAAAAACATAAAACGTATAAAGTATGAAACACTAAACATATTTCAAGCCTCCCAAAATCTTCTCGATCAATCGGTGGTTATGGTATATCATGTCCATTGTGTAAACACAAGAAACAAAAAAAGGAATATTTTTTCCACTGCCATACTAAATTACATTATTATTATTTTTAAAAAATGTGATGCTTACAAGTATACGACATAATGAAGTCAAAGAATCTTTCATTTTATAATCTAAGTAGTTTCTAAGGTCTCCATTACCTCTACAAATAAAAACGTACATACAGTCAGCTATTGATGATGTTTATAATTGAATAGTCGCTCATCTGATTTTTTTTCTCTGAAAAGCGACAGACAATTGCCTCAATGTTCCACCCATTGGCGCTCTTTATTGTTCACTGCACAGTTTCAATAAAGTATTCTCTTTAAATATTGTTCTTCGAAAAAAAGCGCCCTCACAGTTCCAAAAGATCATTAGCCCTGCTTATAATTCGGCATGCATACTATTGCTGTGTATAATG